AAGTGAGACCTCAGGGGGAAGAGTTTTTTCTTTTTAGTCTTACAATAGATAAGTGAATTTCCTGAATTATAAATGAAGCCTCTGGAGATATAAATAGAATAGGGAAGAGCTGCTGAGAGATATGACATTCTCTTCTTCTCACTCTATAAGTGCTTCGTAACTCACTGGAGGCTGGCAAGTTCCACACAATACATGAAGGCACGGGCTGAGAAGGATGTCAATAGTTCCCTTTGCCTACAGATTTTTAAAAATGCCATATGGGAATATCATGGATTCATTCCAAAATTGCCGAGTGTAGATAGATAAATAAATAGAACAAAAGACAAAGGTACACACAGGCCAAATTCATACATATTCTATACCTGCACAATGCATTTTTATATTCTGAACAGAAACATTTTATGGTTGTACATAGTTGTTTTTTTCATACTTTTAAAAATCTAGTACACAGTGAATTCAATGGTTGATGTATCATAAAATTGTACACTTGCAGCCTATATAACTTTATTAACTGATCTATCCTAATAAATTTAATTTAAAAAAAATTTTAAAAATAAGTGAGATCATGTGATATTTGTCTTTCTCTGATTGTTTTATTTCACTTAGCATAATAGTCTCCAGGCCTATCCATGCTGTCTCAAAGGGTAAAAGATGCTTATTTTTTACAACTGCATAGTATTCCATTGTGCAAATGTACCAGTTATTTAACCCGTTCATCTACTGATGGGCACTTAGGCTATTTCCAAATCTTAGCTATTATAAATAACTAGAGGCCTGATGCACAAATTTGTGCAAGAGTAGGCCTTCCTTCCCCTGGCTGCTGGCATTGCCTTCCCTCTGGCACCTAGACTTGGGCTTCCCTCTGGAACCCAGGACCTGGACTCCCCTCTGGCCGCCAGCAGGCACCCAGGACCCAGGCTTCCCTCACAGTCCCTGCTTCGTCCAGAAGGTCGTCCAGAAGGACGTCAGGAAGGACGTCTGGTCTAATTAGCATATTATGCTTTTATTATTATAGATGATGCTGCTACTAGCATAGGGGTGCATATATTCTTTATGACTGGTGTTTTTGGGTTTTTAGGATATATTCCCAGAAGTGGGATTGCTGGGTCAAATGGCAGTTCCATTTTTAATTTTTTGAGGAAATTCCATACTGCATTCCCACCAGCAATAAACTAGTGTTCCCTTTTCTCCATATACTAGCCAGCACTTGTTGTTTGTTGGTGTGTGTGTGGGTGGGGGGATGAGAAGAGATAAACCAAAGAACTTATATACTTACTGGTGGGGTCCCTCAGCCTGGCCTGTGCCCTCTCGCAATCTAGGACCCCTTGGGGGATATAGTAGTGCTCGAAGTGGCAGGCAACTGGGAAGGAGCCTGAGCCAGGGCCTGGCACCACACCACTCCTGCTCATCTTGACCCCACTGCACCTGCTGCGGGCTCGCGCCCAGTCAGTACCGATAGGGAGAGGTTTGCGCCACTGTAGTGGCACTCGCCAGCCATGAGTCTGGTGTCTGGCACCCATCAGTTAGCTGAGCAGTGCTCCTGCTGTGGAAGCACACTGACCACCAAGGGGCAGCTCCTGCGTTGAGTGTCTGCCCTGGTGGTCTGTGCACATCATAGCAACCAGTCGACCAGTTGCTTAGGCTTTTATATATATAGATATGCATAGCCCATTGACAGAGATAATAGGGTGGTGAAGGCCTGGAGGGGCTGAATGGAGGTTGATGGGGGGAAGGGAGACATCTGTAATACTGTTATCAATAAAAAAATATATAGTTTTTAAAAACACAAAAAAATCTATCTTTTATAACATTTGACTGTCATTTAGTCTTATCTCTGCCTAATAAAAGAAGGCTAAGAGAACATGTGTGTGGCAAATATCCTAGGTTCTGAGTGCGCCTCTGGTTGACTAGACTAAGGAGGTTGAAAAGTGTCATTGGGACTAAGTGGAGTATCACCACCAAAACTGTCACTGCCATGAAAGGAGAAAAGCAGTAATCAATCATCTCTCACCCCACTAAGGGAGCATATTTGAATTGCAGAATGCAGCTGCTCCCATCAATTCCATGGCAGCTGTCTTTGTCATATTGCAATTTACACATTAGGAATAGTACCCTCATAATTTGGAAGAGTTACTGCAATTCCAAGATTCATGCCTTACAGATTTTACCGCCCAAGTGATAGGAGGTGCTGATTTATTTTTTACTACGTTCCCTCTGCCTCTGCTTCCTCAGATAATATATTCCCTTACTTAAGACATTTTTCTCTTTCTCTTTGAAATTTATATTAAATCAATCACTATTTCAAAATGGCATTTCTTTTTGTGTGCATAAAAAATTACAAGGTTTGAATGAGTAAGTCATTTAAAAATTATCGTATAGTGTACACGATTTTGGTGATAACTTGATTCATTCAAATTGTATTGAAAATGAACTTAACATCTCCCACACTAAGTTTTGTTTCTCAAAACTGACATTTAGTAAATGAAATAGATTATCTGGATATCCTATATAATAAAAGAGAAACATGCAAATTAGCCATCCCTCCTCTATGCTCAAGCCACACCCACCAGCCAATGAGGAGTGTGTATGCAAATTAACCTGACAAAGATGGCAGGTAATGTGCATAAACAGAGCAGTGTGGGAGAGCACGCAGCTTTGGGGGATGTGACTCCCTCGGTTGCTCCCTTGGGGGGACGTGACTCCCTTGGTCACCAGACAGAGAACAGAGCAGGAGAGCCAGAGGCTTCCGGGGACATGGCTCCCTTGGTTGGGGAAAACCCAGAGCATGGGGAGCACCAGGAATTCTGGGAATAGTAGTTTTGGTAGCAGCCACAGGACCGGAAGTGGAAGCCCAGAGCGCAGGGAGTACCAGGAATGCTGGGATTCATAGTTCTCCTAGACACTAGCAAAGTGAGCCTGGAACAAGTTACTGTTGCAGTGGGGATGGAGGGAAAGCAAAGGTGAGAGACATAAGTAAAATCAGAGTGTCTAGGAATAAAGGGACGATATCCTAAAACTTCCAGGAAATCTCCACCAATGGAGCAAAGAAAAAAAAAATGCCTCTATTATTCTGTGAACAACAAACCCAACTGGGTTGGAGGTCTCAGACAATTCACTCATATGATTGCCAAGACAGACAGAAACTCCCGGATTGGAGAGGGCTCCCCTGAGGGCTCCCATATTGGAGAGGGTGCAGGTCAGGCTGAGGGACCCCCTCTCCACTCCCCCACCCCCACCCAGTGCACAAATCTTCATGCATAGGGACCCTAGTATTACAATAAAGGACTAAAGGTTTATTTAACCTTCAGGTAGAGAAATAAATGCGAGGAGGACCCTTTAAGGATACATTAGATATTTTAACCACACAAATAATGTATCAAGTACTTTTATGGTCCAGGGCTGATCTAACTGTTGGGTAGATCCTTCACTTTTTAATGAATATCCCTCTAATATTACATCCTAAGTAAAATAAAATTTTTTTTAAAGAATGTCATTTGGTCATAAGTTGAGGCGGAGCTGATCTTCTTTGGTATAATCCCTCATTCTACATAAGTGTAGTTAATGTTTTGTTGTTATTGTTAAATTTTATTTTGAGTTCTCTGTACATATAAACCCAGTCAAATGGTCACCTTCCCTTTTTCCATTTCCATTCTCTATTATTAGTGTCTTCCTTCAGGGAACAACTCTTAATAGTTTGGGGTTATGTACTGTAAGCCTTTGAAGTACGGTATCATTCATTCAGCTGATTATAATGCTATGTATGTCTTTGTTTAAATGTACATCAAGACAGGACTAGAAAAACATTAAAGCTTCTTCTGTTGTTATAGCAACATATTAATTAGTGTTTTTTTAGTAATAGCACAGCCTAATAATTATGAGCAAAGGCCTTAGGATTGAAACTGTATTTAAATTCTGAACCTGCTATTTGCTAAGTAGGTGAACTTGACCAATTGCCTCAGCTGTCACATGGGGATAATGATAGTACCTACTTCATAGCACATGTCAGATGTCAGAAATCAAGGTAAGACAGGCATACAAGGCATTGAGCACAGTGCCTGTCATTGTAAAAGTCATTATTTACTATTATTAGTGGTATAATTTATATTATTATTTAAATATTAGTTTCATAATTTACATATACATTTTATGACACATTTTTAACTGTACCATATATCAGTTTTATTCATAAGCTCATAATTTAACACATTGTTTAGTACCTTGTTGAAATTCAAATATATTACTACTAGATGCCTGGCGCACAAAATTCTTGCACGAGTACAGTCCCTAGGCCTGGCCTGCGATCAGGGCCATCTTCCCTGGCTGCAGGCAGCCAGCCCCGCCCCTTCTCACCACCCACCCTGGTTCCTGGCTCCCCATTCGCCATCAGGTGATCAGAGACTTCCTGCTGGGGGAAGGGACCGAGAGATTGGCCATCAGGCCCTGATTGGGAGATCAGGGCCTGTGGGCTGGGGCAGCTATGTTGAGCGCCTGCCCCCCTGGTGGTCAGCGCGTGTCATAGAGACCAGTTGTTTCACCATTTGTTCGACTTGCATATTACCCTTTTATTATATAGGATAAGTAAAACAGTACATACATACACGCCCAAGAATGTGCAGATATGTGTATGAATTTTTCTTGCTGAATCCATATATCTACTGTTCTAGCAACTTCATTTTGAGTTCTATAATTAGAAAATCAAAATAAATAAGAACTTCACATTTCTAATATTTACTCTGTTTTCCAGTGTGTCTTGTTTCAGAGAACATAAAATCAAGCAGCTAGCAGGAATTTGTCATTTAGCCAAGGTATTTATGCATCATTCTTGTGGAATTGTCAAGTCTCCCCCCACTCTCCTGGCTGATCACAATTACTGATTCAATGATTAAGTGTTCACAAATGATTCTATGAGAATGCTGCCCAGGCTTAGCGTTGACTCCACAGAAAATTAAAATGTATGCTCATATGAAATTAATGCAAGTTTTCAGAACAGAGGTACATACCTGCATTCAGAAAAGGTAAGTTGTCTTTTCCGCTCACATTCTCTGATGCTGAACATTCACATACAAGTGCACACTAGGGAAGAACACAAAAAAAGGAAAAGAAAACAGTTGAAAGTAATCAAAATAAGAAAATTATTTTGTTTGCAGAACAAGAGGCAGTGCACATAGTATCAAAAAATTCTGAACAAGACATTTTGTAACACTATTTTCAGTGTTATCTCTATCATGAAGCTTGATTAACTTGTGATTATTTATTTATAATATGATTGTATTATGTGGTCATAGAGTACATTTTGGTTTTAGTTAATGGCCACTTAGGAATGAAAGTAAAATCTGGGAAAGGACTATCCACGAATGTTCCTAATACAGCAAATTAGATTTGACAAGCTGAAGGATTTTGTTTTTCGGACAGCTGGAATGATTTTGAATCAATAAAAAGCAAATTATTTTCTAGATTTTAAGCAAAGGCAACTTTAAATAGTATATATATATATACATGATCTCTCAATCAGGGCCTGCGGGCCAACCTCTCGGTCCCTTCCCCCAGCAGGAAGTCTCTGATCGCCTGATGGCGAATGGGGAACCGGGAACTGGGGGTGGGTGGTGAGAAGGGGCGGGGCTGGCTGCCTGCAGCCAGGGAAGATGGCCCTGATTGCAGGCCAGGCCTAGGGATCGTACCTGTGCAAGAATTTCGTGCACCAGGCATCTAGTATATATATTATACTTTACTTCATTTTATATATATATGTTGTAGTATTTAATTACATAAAGGAAAAGGAGAGTTTTGTCTCTAGCAAAACAGTGCAAACACCTGCTCATACAGTATGAGGACAATTTACAAATAAACTGATCCAGAGATGGGCAAGGCCGTGAGCCCTTACAAAGCCCACACTTGTCTCCACAGAAGAGAAGAGGCCTAGAGGAGCACAATGCCATGTTCCTGGTGAGCCAACCTCAAGTGGGAGACAGTATCCCAGACAATCTATTAGTAAGTGTGGGACTGTCCTTCAGCTTCCCATGAAGCTGTAACTAACAGAGGAAGCAAAACTCTTCTGACCCCAGGAGGTTGACAAGAGACCTATTTTCACACAAACACCAGGATTTGTTTCTTCACATGAGTTTCCTTCTATCTCTAGCCAAAAAAAAAAAGGAAAACAATAAATTTTCAGAGCAAATATTTCAAACTGAACAAATAAATGCTGATAAAAAGAAAACAAACAAAAAACCAGCAATTTCTTCTGGTGATGAGTTCTGTGGGAAACAGCCACCATTCTGGAATGCTTGGCCTTCCTCAGAAGGTTCCTCAGACTCAGACCGCTCCCCCCAAAATGGGGAATCAGAATTGCTTGGGCTATTTCCTAACTTTCCAGTCTGTCTCCCTCCACCCTTCCTTCCCCAGGCACTGCCCACTTTGAGAATCACAACCACTGAAGTCACAGGTAATGATGGATTATAGATATATATATAGATAGATTTAGAGATAGAAATAGATAATATAGATATAGATGACATATAGATATAGATATAGTTATATAGTTATAGATATAGATATAGACATAGATATAGATGATATAGCTATATAGATATAGATCTATCTGTATATACATATAGATAGATAGATATAGATATAGATGTAGATGTAGATATAGGTATAGATACACTAGAGGCCCGTTGCACGAAGATTCACGCAATAGGCCTTCCTTCCCCTGGCTGCTGGTACCGGTTTTCCTCCGGCACCCAGGACCCAGGCCTTTGGTCTGGCCACAGCGAGGCTTGGCTTTTCCTCTGTGGCTGCAGCGGAGAAGCCAAGCCTCTTTAGTCTTCAGTCTTCAGTCATCTTCAGTCTTCACTCTGCGCCTGCATATGCAAATTAACTGCCATCTTTGTTGGGTTAATTTGCATACTCAACCTGATTAGCTGGTGTGCGTAGTGGAGTGATGACCAATTTACATATTTCTCTTTTATTAGTGTATACACACACACACACACACACACACACACACACACATATATATGTCTGTATACACACACACGACACTCATGAATTTTGAGATATAGGACTTTAAGTCAGGTCACTGGAAGGCTTTGGATTCATACTTTCAGGGAGCTAAGGATCCAGGAGGAATGGCACATTCTGTGTTACATTTTAGTAAGTGCTCTGCTGAAAATAGACTATGGTGGGGGGGCAGTGCCGGGAGGAGGAAGGGGGGAATCAGGGAAACATTTAAGAGACTACTGTAAAAATGTAGGTGACAGTCAATGTTGGTAGCAGGGAAAGGGTCATGAGTCCTTGGATTCTGGATTCATTTAGAAGTCACAATCAACAGGATTTATTGACATATGGACTGTGAATATGAGACAAAGAAATGAGTAAACAATGACTTCAAATTTTTTTTTTAAAGTTTGGATACCTAGTGCAACATTTCACCTAATATATTGGCTTTGTAAAAGGACAGTGTTCGTATTTCTTTCGTGAATTTCCTTTCTACTGCTATGTGATAGTAACACGTTGTCTTCTAGTTCTAAGTATACATATATCAACTAAAAGTTTGAACCAGGGTAATATGGTGAATGACCCTCTGCTCTATCTTCCCTGGATGAGAAACATAAATATAATAATAAAAATATGATCTGAGGAAACAAGTAAGTAAATGTATGTGAGAGGAGAGAGTTTGGATTTTTTTATATATATACTTTACTTCATGCTCTGAAGGCTATGTAAAATTCAAAATTAAAATGCAGTATTTTATATCAGAGGTATTATTATGAACTGAACTGTGTTCCTTAAAATTAATATGTTGAAGCCCAAACACCCAATGTGACTGTATTTGGAGATAGGACCTTTGTGGAGGTACTTAAGGTTAAAAGAGGTCATAGGGATGGGGCCCTAATCTGATGGGGCTGTGTCCTGCAAGAAGAGGAAGACACCAGAGCTCACCCTCTCTGTCTGTGCACCTGCACCGAGGAAAGATCATGTGAGGACACAGCAAGAAGCCTGCAAGACAGAAGAGAGCTATTGCTAAGAACTGAATCATCTGGCATTTTAATCTGGAACTTTAATCTGAAAACTGTGAGATAATCAATTTCTGTTTAAGCTACCCAGTCTATGATATTTTATTATGGCAGCTGAGCTGATTAATATGGGTATTAATAGTTTATCTGCTTCAATATACATGAGAGATGATGTGTCATGTACTCACATGACTATGGGTCTAAGTGTAGTTTCTTGTCTTTCTCTGCCATAAATGCAAACCAGTGAAAAGGATGCTATTATCAGGATATCCTTTCTTTCAGTGACTTTGTCCTTTCATTTGTTTCAGTCATTCACTAACTTGGGACTTAAATCTCCATCAGTAACAAACTGTGTTAATACACCTCACTGACTTTGATTTCATGCATCTGCAAAAGTGTGTTTGCACCCAAAGATGATCCTGACCACGCTTTGAAAACACTGAGATAAAGTTATTTCCACACGACTCTCCTAAATGTCATGCAGAGTGGACTTACTCCATGTTCTCTGTTCAATCACCAGTATTCCCCGGGACTGCCAACAGAGTCTATAGCAAATTTTATAAAAGAAATTTGCCAAAGGTCAAGGTTTACTAAGAATCAGGCAGGACGAAGGTACTGCCGACAAAGCTCGCTGTGTTTACCACTTCTGTCACCTGTGACCCGTACAGGGTTTGTGCTGACACCGTCACCTCCTATTTCTAGAAGAGCTCGGTTAAGTCTCTTTTTTAAGTTCACATGACTAAGTCAGAAACATAAAGCAGGACTTGGGTGGGGCATATGCCTGCGTATCGAGTTCTCCGGTTATGGAAAGATCAGGATTCAGTTTGCGCTACCTCAGAATAGAAACGCAATAAAGAAATGAAGGGGTAGACAAACTTTGAGAACAGAGAGGCAGCTAGTGATAGAGTCAGAGGCAGGGAAAGTAGCCTGACTTAGAAATGGGACATGTGTCGGCTCCTGGCCTGGCTCATACCCACAGGTCCAGGCACCATCATCTGCCTATTTCTGATCTCAGACCCTGCTTACCCTCAAAATCCTCCCTCCTCAATTTTGATACAAACATCCACGTGGTGCTAAGATGGGTCTTATATAGAACTCCAAAGGACACGAGGACCAAATAAAGGGACTAACCCCAAACGGGTCTTGTTTACACAAACCCTAAGAGGATCTGCTACGAAACTTCAGCATAGCCCTGACATTTGGAGGCAACCTGATTCAAACTCCAGGCCTCCTTGGAATCTTTTCATGATCCAGGATATGCTCCGAGGGAGAGCAGGGGAACAGAGAGAAACAAGTGTTGCCTTTCTTAGGGCTAGAACTATGTATATTTGAAAAGGAGTCTTATATTGTGTAAAGTTAATGATTCATTAAGTGTTACATAAACACCATCTTCCATGTAGATGTTTCCTTACCAACAAAATCCAAATGTTCCCAGATAAGAGTCTCTAAGCTAGAAGTTAAGTCAGAATGAGCCTTGTCATTAAAAAAACTGTTCATTTATAACGAGGCAGGAATTACAGTGTGTACACAAGCTCATGTTCCTGAAAAGAACTATTAGCCGTTTTGAAGCCTGTCCCCTATGTCTCAATAAAATAGGCAATTGCATTCCGAAGACAGGAATTTGGGCTAATACTCAATATCAAGTTTTCATCTCCTGCAGAAAAGGGAGTAGAAAGCAAGTAAAACTCCTGGCCACATCTTGAGAGGCACTGGAGCCTTTATCCTGGCCTCCAGCGGGCATCGCCCCTCCCCCAGAGCCGTCCCTCCACTGTGGACAATTCCCTGCTTCTCTCTGCAGTTTCATAAGGCACAATGTTATGAAGTCTGCCCTCCGTCACATAAGAATGAAATCTAAGTTCAAACTGCATCTTTTTCCGAAGGGGGTTTTGAGAGTAGGGAAGTGGTTACTTGTGGTAATAGTCCTCCAAGAATTTCCTGGGCATCTCCTGAAGGGTTAATTATGGCAGAATGCAACCATGATCAACTGAGAAGAGGCAGCGTGGACACAGGAGCAGGTGGAGAAGAGGAAGGTGTTTCTGAGTGGCAGCTGCCTTTGCCTAGTTCCATGCAAACAGCCTCAGCTTCAGAGGCTGAAACACACTTCTGGTGCTCAGATTGCAGAGCTGATTTCTCATTTAGCTCTTGAAGAATGAGATTTCATACCCCACAGAGGTGTTGGTGATTCAGACATCCGGTGAAGATGATCCTTTCTAATTTAATTTGTGCAATGAGCTGGCGGAGACCCTACCTTTTGTCCCTGCACATCTGCCGTGATGTGGTCGGCTTCCCCATCCTCAATCTCCCCCATCTTCACGACACTGACTTCTATGGTGCCAACAACTTTGCCACCATCTGAAGTTCTGCAAACAAACATAAATGACATGGAAAGGTGAGAATCTTCTCTCTCCTTAAATTGCAGTAATCCCCCCTTACCTGTGGTTTCTCTTGTTGTGGCTTCAGTTACCCTGCTATCAACTGTGGTCCAAAAATATTAAATAGAAAAGTCCCAGAAATAAACAATTCATAAGTTTGAAAAATGCACGCTGTTCTGAGTAGCAAGACGAAATCTCGCTGAGTCCTGCTCCGTCCTGCCCAGGACCTGAATCATCCCTCTGTCCAGCCTCCCCATGCAGTACATGCAATATAATAAGGTATTTTGAAAGAGAAAGACCACATTCATGTAACTTTTACTACAATATACTGTTATAATTGTCCTATTGTATTATCAGTGTTATTCATCTCTTACTGCGACTACTTATAAGTTAAACTATATCAGAGCTATGTATGTAGAAGAAAAAACAGGAGTACAGTATACATAGGGTGCGGTACTATCCACAGTTTCAGGCATCCACGGGAGATCTTGAAATGCATCCCCCTTGGATAAGGGAGGGCTATGCCCATACATATCCGTCTCTGGAAACCACGAACATGGCTATTTACTTCAATGGTTTTAATTAAACAAATCTGCTTAAACCACAGCAACGCATGTTAATGCTGGTGTTGTTTTTAATTTCAAAAGAAAATGAACCATGAACTTGCAAGGTAAGTACATGGATTGTCAAAACTGACTGTATGAAGGCGAAAGCCCCCCTAGGCTGGCAGGAGTGGCCTCAGCATCACGGGTCAGGGCCCTGTTTGGCAGCCTCCACACCTCTGCAACAGCAGAAGCCACAGCCCCTCTGCACCAATTACATGGGATATTGTGTACATCGATTACAGAAAACACAGCTGAGTACAATGGAAAAGACAGTACACATCCCTATATTCCTCTATGACTGGGCCATTGGCTACAAAATTTGATTTTGTATCATTTTTCTTTCTAAGAGATCAGGTAAAGAAGATTCTCTGCTAGCAAACATAAGAAAGTTAAGAAACACGGAGAGCAGAATTTAATCATAGAGATTGGTTAGTACAACTTATTATTTTTTCAGCTAAAAAACCTAAGACTCAAAAAGATGGAAAGACTCGCCCAAGGTAACGAAGCGGCAAAACTGAAAACCCAGGTTTCTTTTTCAAATGTTGGTCACTGAGCAAGTAACTCTTCTCTATTTAATGATGGTGATATTAAGATTTCCATCATCATTACTGTCTCAAACATGCACATGCTATGGTCGACAATAATAATGAAAGCTAAAAATAAAATGAACAACCACCATCTTTTAAGATTCTCTAATTTCTTTCTCTGAACAAGAAAATATCCAGAATAAATGATGCCATCATACCATGGAAATACTGTCACAAGTCATGGATATTTCTCCCTTTAACCTTCTTGGAAAATAGGTAACAAATCACCCCATAGTTATGATGTGTTGCTATAACTTCTAAGACTAACAAATAGTAATCACATGACACTTGGTTTTCTTTATATAGTCATGTTCTTTTCATACTGTCTTTCTTTCAACAAATTCCTTCTACATGTCACTACTTTATTGTGAGAGGTGTCAGAGAAGAGAAAATTAGTAAAAGGAATTTACCAAAATGCTAATTAAAATAATGACTAAGTTAATTAACAATTATGTTATTAGATAATTAATTATGCTTTTCAGAAAACTGAAATAGAAAATTCTGGTAAACATATATAGCTAGTTTTACAATGTAATAAAATAAAGATTATGCACATAAAAAGTTATTTACTGGTTAAATAGCATATTAAGATTTCATATTAAAATATAAAAATGCAATTTTTAAGTCACTGTAAATCATAACATTGACTCAATTATTTAAAATTAATATATAAAGCTTAATCATTCATCATAAAGAAGATGTGTATGTGGAAGACAGTATAATCTTTTTAGTGAAAAACTATATTAACTTCAATTCTGGGATGGTTATAAATAATTCATTATACCATTTTCCAGTTGGAAATGACATAATAACTTGTCATAAGTTATGATATGACATAGCTCTGTACAATTTTTCAGTACCTGATAGTAAAACAGTTTATTAACAAGAACCTTCATTGGCACTACCCGTAATTAATTTTCTAAAAGATCTGCATACTTTCTTCCCCTAATCTGATGATTAATAACAATTAAACATACCCGTTTCTTCGTATGAGAATTGTTTAAAAATTTGTGCATGAACAAAACTTATATATAACATTCTAATTTTTTCCTTGAACTAAACCAAGGGATGCACATAATGCTTTGAAACAGAAGGCAGATGTTCCACAGCCTATCCCAAGACTGTGAATAAAGCAGTATATGCCATAATGGTTAAAAGTGTGAGCTCAGGAATTTGAGCTAGCTGCTAGCTGCACGACTGTGGGCAAGGGGCTTAGCTATACAACACTTCCTTGTAAAATGGAGACAATGATAACGTTGTTATAAGGATTATATTGACATGATTTGTGTAAAGTGCTCAGCACAAGGCCTTATACAAGATATGTGCTTCTTCCTTCTCCCCTCCCCCTCCCCTTTATCCTGGTAGTAGAAGTGGCAGCAGCAACATAATTATTATTGCCAGTAATGTATTATATGATATTTAATTTTATTATCTCAAGAAATATTTTATTAAAATTGGCATTAAAGATTATAGAAGAAGATTATAGGATCTTATGCCATATGAATTTCAACAGTGATTATGCACTCACTAGAGCTAGAAAGCCTTAGTAATAAAAGATGTTCTAAAGCTTACATTCCTAACAGTGCAAAAAGCACAAGTTTATAAATAATTACAATGACAGCAAGCATTTCAAAGAGCCAAAGCAGATGACTGAGCGATGTCCTGTGGGAGTAAGCTTCTGAACGATATTTCTATCTGTTTCCTTTGAAAAAGTATCTGGCTATTTTTTCAATAATTTTTATGCCTCTGGGTTTCCTATTTCTATTTATCTACCAAGGCTTCCACTTATTCCCAGAGCAAACTTAAAGCAAAGGGCTTGGTTAATCTAGCGACACTAGAGGGATTGTAGAATCAACCTCCCCCTGAACCATTTTGTTTAGAACACTCTAAATATCCTAAAGGATGCCTCTTCATCTGAGATTTGTGGGAGACAGAATGGGGAATCCAGGTTATAAACTAAAGAATTGAAGCCAATGAACGGGCAGTTAAAATGCAGAACAGTTCATTATTCATTCTGTATCAATTTCCCAGACCCAGCATATGGATATTCAACACTTCCCTCCAATCAGAAGAATCACGATTGAAATATCTATTCCCTTTCTCCAAAGGCTGTTTCAAAGATCATTTAGTAGAAATTTAGGAAAAATTTATATTCTTAAACTCTCAATTATGCTTTCAACCCATCAGGTTGGGGAGGCTAGTGATAATTGCTTAGCCATTATTCATCACAAAAACTCTACTGAGTTGTCTATAATGGAATTTCATCATATCTGTATGAAAGACATACAGAAGAGAGTTCTGGATTGGAAGCGAGAAACCCAAGCACTATTTCCAGCTCAGCTGCTAACTAGCTGTGTGACAAAGGACATATCACTTAAATTACCTGGATTTTAGTTTCCTTTGAGGCCAAACAAAGAGTCAGTTTCTAATAGCGGTTCTATAATATCAGCAATAATCGCTAATGATCCACTATTCACTCCTGTGGTTTCATAATATTATTCTATCATAGGTACCATAGGCCATCATAGGTTGGTGCAACCTTGAGGAAAATCTGAGACACATTCTAACCTATCGTGCTCACTCCCACCTTCCTGTCCAAACTTTCCCCAAAACAAAGGACATGATAAACCTGGGAAGAAACTCAAAACTTATAGTCCAATAAAAATAGCTATTTTTTCTTATTTTATCCAGGTATACGTATTTTTTTTCTGGCATTATGTTATTTTTACAAGGATACAAATTTGACTGAGCCAAGAAACACTTTTCAAAAAACTTATATGGCAATAAAAACAGGCTGTAGTAAGAAATAACTATCTCAACCTATGTGAAGGGGGAAAAAAAAAACACTATGCCATTTCAAACAGTCTAGTGCCAGGTCATTACCACTAGTTAATGCAGAGAGCTGTACGAGAAATAAAAGATGGGGTAGTCCATGGCTGCTAAAGTATCCCCATCACAGCGCTGCGTTCCTATTTGTTTCAGCAGATACACTTAAATATTTAATCACGCCAACAAGATGAAAGACAACAAAGAGGAAAATTTCAGCAACACAAATCTATACTCCCTTCTCACTTAGGTTTTCAGCATGCATAAAACATACGTGATTAAGGCTCTTTAAAATCTGCCTTTAAAATAACTCCCCTAATGCTTCCTAATGACACATTCTATTTCCTATGCGGAAACACACAAGCATTTTTACAAGATTGAAAAAAGGGTGATGGGGACAGTCTTCTAACAAAGGACAATTTCATGACATTCTTCCTCTAAGCTTCTTCACCACCTACGTTATACCTTTCCTAGTAGAGCAAAAAGAAAAAAACAAACCTACCACTGGAAATGTGGAACAGTAACATGTAAATAATTCCTCTACTATGGAAATGCCACAGAGATACAAACCAACAAAGTGACTTTGTAAATATCCAGGGAAAACCCATCATTAGCACTGTCAGTCTTTGCGAATAGAAAGTAAGCCTGGTGCTATGCACGGACTCTTCAGCTGTAAGATGTGCCTTGCATTTAAACCACCTAGACAAGTAACTGGAAAACGAAGGTCTCACCTGGACAGGAAAATAAACAACGGCCGTAAGTAAACAAAGTGAGTGAGTACCCCCGATGACCTTCCTGGTGAATTTATTTACCTGGCAACGCTAGATTTACTTAGGGCTCACAGAAGTGAGAGTTCTATTTAAGTATGTACAACTAAACATACCTCTATCCTGGCTGAAATTCAGAAGTGTAAGAAGCCATATAATCCTTTCAAACTAGAACTCAAATAAAATGTTTTAGTAGTTCTAAC